CTCCCAAGAACCTCCTTTTCCCCGCTGCCATGCCCCTCCTTTCCCCCCTCCCATAGCCCTCCTTCCCCCCCTCCCATAGCCCTGATTTCCCCCCTCCCATAGCCCTGCTTCCCCTCCTCCCATAGCCCTGATTTCCCCCCTCCCATAGCCCTGCTTCCCCACCTCCCATAGCCCTGCTTTCCCCCCTCCCATAGCTCTGCTTCCCCACCTCCCATAGCCCTGCTTCCCCCCCTCCCATAGCCCTACTTCCCCCCCTCCCATAGCCCTGATTTCCCCCCTCCCATAGCCCTGCTTCCCCACCTCCCATAGCCCTGCTTTCCCCCCTCCCATAGCCCTGCTTCCCCACCTCCCATAGCCCTGCTTCCCCCCTCCCATAGCCCTGCTTCCCCACCTCCCATAGCCCTGCTTCCCCCCCTCCCATAGCCCTACTTCCCCCCCTCCCATAGACCTGATTTCCCCCCTCCCATAGCCCTGCTTCCCCACCTCCCATAGCCCTGCTTTCCCCCCTCCCATAGCCCTGCTTCCCCACCTCCCATGGCCCTGCTTTCCCCCCTCCCATAGCCCTGCTTCCCCACCTCCCATAGCCCTGCTTCCCCCCTCCCATAGCCCTGCTTCCCCACCTCCCATAGCCCTGCTTTCGCCCCTCTCATAGCCCTGCTTCCCCCTTTCCCATAGCCCTGCTTCCCCCCCTCCCATAGCCCTGCTTCCCCCCCTCCCATAGCCCTACTTCCCCCCCTCCCATAGACCTGATTTCCCCCCTCCCATAGCCCTGCTTCCCCACCTTCCATAGCCCTGCTTTCCCCCCTCCCATAGCCCTGCTTCCCCACCTCCCATAGCCCTGCTTCCCCCCTCCCATAGCCCTGCTTCCCCACCTCCCATAGCCCTGCTTTCGCCCCTCCCATAGCCCTGCTTCCCCCTTTCCCATAGCCCTGCTTCCCCCCCTCCCATAGCCCTGCTTCCCCCCCTCCCATAGCCCTACTTCCCCCCCTCCCATAGCCCTGATTTCCCCCCTCCCATAGCCCTGCTTCCCCACCTCCCATAGCCCTGCTTTCCCCCCTCCCATAGCCCTGCTTCCCCACCTCCCATAGCCCTGCTTTCCCCCCTCCCATAGCCCTGCTTCCCCACCTCCCATAGCCCTGCTTCCCCCCTCCCATAGCCCTGCTTCCCCACCTCCCATAGCCCTGCTTTCGCCCCTCCCATAGCCCTGCTTCCCCCTTTCCCATAGCCCTGCTTCCCCCCCTCCCATAGCCCTGCTTCCCCCCCTCCCATAGCCCTACTTACCCCCCTCCCATAGACCTGATTTCCCCCCTCCCATAGCCCTGCTTCCCCACCTCCCATAGGCCTGCTTTCCCCCCTCCCATAGCCCTGCTTCCCCACCTCCCATAGCCCTGCTTCCCCCCTCCCATAGCCCTGCTTCCCCACCTCCCATAGCCCTGCTTTCGCCCCTCCCATAGCCCTGCTTCCCCCCTTCCCATAGCCCTTCTTCCCCCCCTCCCATAGCCCTGCTTCCCCCCCTCCCATAGCCCTGCTTCCCCCCCTTCCATAGCCCTGCTTCCCCCCCTCCCATAGCCCTGCTTCCCCCCTTCCCATAGCCCTGCTTCCCCCCCTCCCATAGCCCTGCTTCCCCCCTCCCATAGCCCTGCAGGGCGTGGGGATAGGAAGGGAGGGAATTGGCGACGGGAAGACATGGGATGGCCGACGAGGATGGGAAAGGGATGGGAAAATGGGTGCTGGGGGGAAGCGGGGACGCGGGAAAGCGGAAAGCGGGACTGCGGGAACGCGGACTAGCGGATTGGGCGGAAAGCGGAAAATCGGGGAAGCAGGATAATGGGAAAGTGGGAATCAAGAGATCAGGAAGTGGGATACGAGAAGCGGGAAAGCAGTGGCAGCTTGAGTGCGGGAAATCAGGGAGGCGAATGCAGTCAGATGCAGTGGGCGGGGTGGAAAACAGAGAATGCGGAAGAGTGGGAAAGCGGGGCAGCGCTCTCGCAGCTGCTGCGAGGAGCGGGGAGTGGGAAGCGAGGCAACGGGCGAGGTACTTGGGCGCACCGGCGAGGAAATGCCTTAGAGCTTGCTAATAAGGTCTTCGCGTGGCACGCCCTAAAATGATAGCGTGGCATGCAGCGAAGTGGGCGATTAGGTACGAAATCACTGGTCGCATAAACTAACGGAGATGCGGCATGTAGCTGTCGCCCACAGGGTTACGGGATTATGTAAACGTTACTAATAAGCCGCACCTTTCCCGTGAATGACGAAATAGGAGGTAAGCGCTGTGTTAGGGAGCGAGAATGGCGGGGAAGGAGCCATGGCTACTGAGTACAGAGTAAAAAGCAAAAGCTTTGGGTCTTGATGTGGCGGGGGGAGAGGCTTTCCTTGTTCTGTCGCTGGGTTGGTGGTGAGTCGCATAGCCAACCAGAATCTTCCCAAATAAAAATCGCACCCCTACTGCTGGTATTTGGTTACCGTGTTTGTTCCGCGTTAGTTTTCGTGCGTCGGGGGACTCAAAACCTTTGACTCTTGAGTTTGGTCTGTACGCTCGCTTTAAGCCCCCGTCTCATAATTCTAGGATCCGACCAATTGTAAAATGCTTGGTACCCAGTTACGCTGGCGAATATGACGAGACAGGAAAGGAAGTGCCTCGGACAGTGTGTTTCTTGCTGGGGGGCGAGACCAATTGTAAAACCAGCAGTGAAATATGAGAATGAGCAAGTTCACGGAAGAATGGGGACGTTGGACCGTTCGATCGTCTAGAAGTTCGGATCCGACGGTTCATCGAGTGTATTACTAAATCTACCGCTGAAAACGAAGTGAATTTGGCTGTGCTGGAAAATTGGATTCTGCACCGTTCGATGTAAAACGAACCTCCAGACTGATGTGCAAAACCTATCGCGAGCCAGCCTTCCCCAAACCTATTTTTGGTTCGGGTGTTTTACCGAAGCACAATGGTCCCGCCTCTTGCGTTTCGTTTTCGTCATTTTTTCTATACCTCGCCTACCAATCAGAGTTTGCCTGCTCCAACCATTTGTAAAACTCTAGTAATTATGAGACGGGGGCTTTAACATGCCGAAATATTGAAACGCCAAGTGTAAATGTGTTGAGGTGCACCAAAAGGTTCAACAACAAAATGCGCGGACACGTGTCCCGCCCGTGTCTCGACAAGAGAGCGGGTGCGCAGCGCGCACATAACAGACTGACACGCGAAAACAGCAGGGTAACCGAATTTCGCCTCGGGTAAGAGGCCCCGCCCGGTGTTTCGCATGCGTCACGAAATCCTGGCGAATGTAAGCGTTCTATTTTTCGCCAGCCAGGATCTGGACGTTTCTGCTCTGTGTATAACTTGGTCACGATCTCCATTCAATTCGAAAACGTGCGGCCCATATCTGGGGGCCTGTTTGGAGGGTGTCCGCCAAAATCGCCAATTTCTTGTGCGTGTCCGAATGGACACGAAATTTCGGGTTACCATATCAAATTTTCGTACCTGATACGCAAAGTGAATAGTATACGAACGCGCTGGACACGTCCTTATCATATGAGCCTACAAATGCTACTCGTGTGCAGACCTCGTGTTTGCCTACGAGCTTGGGCCAAAGCGACACACATGGTCAAGTGCGACTCATGTGGACACGTGAATGCGCGGTGCCGTCAATCGGTCTCGCTTACTTGCTGTGCTGGAATGAGCAACCATTTAACGATTGCCACGGAGGTTATTTGCGTGCGAAACCCAGGCTTGCCACCAGTTCACGCTTGTTCTGGAGGCTTGTTTCAGAATATTCGTTCGTGCCCCCGTGTGAACAGAGACACGTGACAGCTTGCAGCTCAAGCTTCCTTGAAACCAACTGATAGAAACCCGTAAGGAAGCCAAAGTCTTGGGTAACAGGAATTGTGGATTTCAAAACCATGGTCGGCTCTTGCCAAGCTCTCAATCTTCACAGACAATAGGATCCGTGAAAAATGAATCCGTTGGGAGTTCGGTAGTTTTTGGCCAGTTACTAGTCCAAGAATTTACGAAGAATCATTTCTCAGCCCTACGGTCACACGCGAATTCTTGTCTAGGCTCCCCCTTCCGCTGCTAGTTGTGTGCCGCGCAGGGCTTTCGCTAAGCCTAGGGTATTTCGTTAGGTCACAGAATCGGCCCCGAAAATACCCGTTCGCGGACGGAGTCACCGAAAGATTACCCGTTAGCATACGGATTCGTCGAAAAGCTACATTCGGTTTGATTCGAACATCCTTGAAGGCAAATGGCCTTGGATGGCTAAGGAAAAGCCATCAAAACCCCAGGGACTGTTATCTCGCGGATCCTACGTCTGAGGCAGTTGGAAGAGTAGAAAAACTCCCGGCAACTGTCCTCGCACTGTGCATAGTGGAGGAAGTTGGGAAAGTAGTGGGGAGGGCGCGAACGAACAGATCTCCCACTGCAATTGCACTTCGTACGGAATCAAAGAAAATTAGCCCGCAATTTCAAGGAATCACATGAAAAGTAATCCGTTAGGCAGACAGAATAAAATACCTGTTCCTATGCAAACAAACGGAATCAGATCGGGAACTACTCTTAATTTCATGACATTAAGGTTAACTACCCTGTTAGTCAGAGCCCTGGTGCCGCGCTTCTTTAGTCCGCGCCAGACCAAGTCGCGCGGAAGAGGAGCACATGCCACCAGGCTCGGTTCGGAGGAATTGAACGATTCCCCCCCTCTTCCCCAAAACCCCTCTGCCTGCCGCAAGCTCCCCCAAACGTCCCCCCGCGCCCCTCTCCTCCCCGCATTCACCAACCAAATTTCTGCGCCTCCACGAATCACCTTTCGACAAGCCGTGCCTCCCCAAGTCGAGTCGCATTTCCCTTTTCCCATGACACCTGCCAATTCCCCCCGAACCAATCGCCTCCTGACAACTCCCCCGAACCCAAGGCCAAGTGCGCCCACTACAAATACTTCAACAGACTTTCCACAAAACAGAAACTCTGGTTGCTCACATCGGCGTGTGTCGGTTGGACATCCTACCAGGTGACCGTCGTCGTCGCCTGCCTAGCTCACTTTCACGTGAGAGAGACGCCACCATGGCGACTCGTAGCGGGCTGCTGCTGCCAAGCAGTGCCATTCTCCTCGCGCTGCTGGCTCTCGCCATCTCCGCGACTGTCGCACAGAGCAGCAACCTCGTCGCAAGTAAGTTACCGCATTTCGTACACGCAAACCCCTACTCTTCCGATTCGCTCATTCCTGGGATAGCTGCAGTGGATTTTGTGTGACTGAACTAGATCATTTCGGGTATTTCTCGCATTTTTGCAGGCAAGCGCAACGCTGTGATCGTCGCTCGCCGCGGTCTGGCCTACTCCACCCTCGACAGCGACGGCAACGACCACGACGGTCACGACGACCACGACGGTCACGACGACGATCACTCCAGCGGCGGCTATCACGACGGCGACCACGATGGCGACGATCACAGCAGCAGCGGCGGCTACCACGACAGCAACGGCGACCACTCGTCGTCGGACGACTACTACAGATCGCCGTCCAAGTCGCCCGTGAAATCCGCGGGAAAGAAGAAATCGCCCGGGAAGTCGCCGAGCAGGTAGCCCAGCAAGTCGCCCGGCTATCGCGACGACGACGACTACAAGTCCCCCGGAAAATCCCCTTCCCGCTCCCCAAGCCGTTCCCCCTCCCGCTCCCCAAGCCGTTCCCCCTCCCGCTCGCCCAGCCGCTCCCCATCCCGCTCCCCCTCCCGCTCCCCCTCCCGCTCTCCCAGCAAGTCGCCTGGCCATGGCGATGGCCGCAACGACTCTTACCACAAGTCGCCCGGCAAGTCGCCAGGCGACGATCGCAACGACCACAGCACCAGTTCTGTCGTAACCCCGGCGCCAGTTGGAGGAGTCTCGAGCAGCCCGGCTGGCGGATTCGTGTCGTGGCTCGGGGAGCTCCTCGGGGTTGGCCAGTAGGAGAGTTCGACTCGGTTTCGAACCCCTCTAATTTACAGCAGAAATGTTGGATCTCTGCTGGACAAAGTTAGGAGGGGGGTCTGAGATGTAAAATTTGAGATGTTGGGCGACGGGAAGTTAGATTTTCGCAGGGTTGTGCGATCATTTTGTGAGTCCTCGAGACTTGGGAATAATGTCGTGAGTTCTTGATATTCTGAAATCATCTGCCGGTACGTCATGATATCATTATCTCCGCGAAGAAAAAAAGGCCCTGAGAGATTGTGGGGGTATGCATTCCCTCTCCACCTACGTCAAGCGAAAACCAACCCCACCCCTCGCGACATTTTTGCAGAAATAAATCATCCGAAAAGCGTCAAAGTGGAAAATCCCCAGCAAAGACTCTGTTGAGTCTTGCTGGGTCACACATAAGAAACGGTAGTGTGCATACTCTACTAGCTTAAATTGTGCGTACGATGTTTCGCTGGTCCTGCTGATTTGGGATCAGTAAGAGGGTTTTTTTCGCCGCTAGCGTGCAGTGCACCCACTTCAATGAACCGAGTCCAGTCACTAGTTTTGTACAAGAGTAAATGCGTCGAGCTTTTCGCACGCTAATACCATCGGAAGGATGTGGATCTGTACGTCACAAAAATGTCGATCTCACTTATATTGTCGGTTTCGTTGTTCATATAGCAAGGCTACTTTGTAGCAGACGTACCTATGGCGTAACTAGTGTATACTAGCTACTCCGTATTTCTGGTTCTGGTATTCTATTTTAGTAGAATCAAAACCGGCATGTTTGTCGCGGCAAACGAACTCCTGCGCTTCCACATGAAATTTCCCCAAAATGATACTGTTATTGCCGGATATCGATACATCTCCTTCAATCTCTAACCGCAACCCCCCACACACACACAAAACACTACCGGCATCAAAGGAAATCCCCCATGACATGGCAATCGCAAAACTAGGCGACGACGAGCATCAGGAGTGCTGAGCCCGCCGCGGCGTGGATGCGTCATACCTGCCCTGAAACCCACCCCCCAACAAAACCTCGAAACCCTCATCGGAATCCCCTGAGAGTATTTTAAGACTCACGGAGTCGTGCTACTGGAAAGGCGCCGCGCTCGTGTCTCACTCCGACTCGGCCTGACGACTGAGTCAGTCGTCGCGGTAGCTGCGCTGCCACCTGGGCTTCCCGGTGCTGTAGTGGTGCTCGTGCTCATCGTCCTCGTGCCCGTTGTGGTGGTCGTCGCCATCGTGGTCGTCGTGGTACTTCGCAGGGGACTTGCCCCACACGGGCGACTTGGACGGCGACTTGCCCGTCCAGCGGTGGTCGTCGTCATCGCGCTTGTTCGCAGGGGACTTGTAGGGCGAGCGAGTAGGCGACCTAGAATTCGGGCGGCGCCAAGGCGACCTGGACGGCGAATTCGACGGCGACCTGTGATACTTGTCGTCGTCGTGGTCGTCGTGCCACTTGCCGGGAGACTTGCTCGGCGACTTGGAGGGCGACCTGTGATACTTGTCGTCGTCGTCGTGGTCATCGTGCCACTTGCCGGGAGACTTGCTCGGCGACTTGGAGGGCGAGCGCCAGGGTTTGGACGGAGACTTCTTGGAGGTCCACCTGCTGGAAGACTTGGAAGGCGACCTGTACCAATGGTGGTCGTCGTCGTGGCCGTCGTGATGGTCGTCGCTGCTGTGATGGTCGTCGCCGCTGTGATGGTCGTCGTCATGGTCGTCGTGGCCATCGTGATCTTCATGGCCGTCAGACAGAGCGCGGCGGCTTGCCTTCAGCTTCAGGTCTGCGATACGGAAAACAAACCGCGGACGTTTTTGTGAACTTAGTACTCGTGCCTTTGTAGAACAAGTTGACGTTTAGCCGGGTTAATGTGTGTTCGTGGACGGAGCTGTAAAGCCGCGTTGAAACGGAAGGAAATGCGTGTACCATAAACGAAAAAAATAGAAAATCGCGTGAGATCAAGTTCTTACCTCCACGGACTGCGTTCGCGTCAGCGAAGGCGAGCGGCGCCGCCAGTGCGAGCAGCGCGAGGGCTACCGCAAGGCAGAGGAGCACCTTGCGAGACGCCATGTTGTATCCCGACGGACCCCAGGCAGTTGGGAAGAGCGCGCTGAGAAGCCTTACCTTCTCGACTCAAGAAGTGCGGCAAGCAAGGATTCTAATTTGAGAGATAAAGTTGCCTGCGCCGCATTTATCCTCAGCTGCTGATCCCCCCAACCCTGGATTTGCGAGGGGCACGGACTTCCTCAGGCCAAGGCGGAACGAGAAACTTTGCGCGGACCCGTGGGGCTGCGGGCACGGCCTTCCCTAGACAAACCCCTATCAGGCAGCGGGGCGGAGTGGAGGCGGTGTGCGGTTTTTGTGTGTCGAGCAGCAGCGCAGCGCACCTGCGCGCAGCGTGTGTGGTTGTGGGGCGCGTGCGCACCGCGTGGCAGGAGGAAGCCTTCCAGAATGGCCGAGCCTGTCACGACCAATCTTGATCGTCCATGAAGGGGCGTAGTGATGGTTATCGCACGGCTATAATTTACTCTATATGTCCCACCAGCATGCGCTTCGATTGGCGATTTGTTCGCGAATATCGCTGATGTTTAGGAAGCCTGTTCACGAAAAATGAAGCTTCTTACGGCATTCCTATGACAGCAGCTCTCTCACTAAGCCCAGGGCATTCCGCTAGGTCATGGAATCGGTCCCAAAATTACCCGTTAGCGGACGGCATCGCCGAAATATTACCCGTTAGTCTACGGATTCTTCAAGGAGCTACCCTTGGTTCGATACTTCTATCCGCAAAGAAAAATGGCCTTGGCCGCAGCTAAGGAAACCCCCTCGAACCCCATGGACTGTTTCTCGCACATGACATGCCTCCGGCGGTTGGAAAGGTTTAAAAACTTCCCGGTAACTAACCTCTTTCTTTGCTTAGTGGAGGAGGATAGGAGGGTGGGAAGGGGTGATACACCACTACAAACATATCTCCTACTACAAGTGCACTTCGTAAGGTATCAAAGTAAGTAACCCGTAATGTCAAGGAATCACACGAGAAGTAATCCATTAGGAAGGCGGAATAAGGAAAAGTCTAAAATGTAAAAACCGAAATCAGGTCGGAAACAACTCTTAATTTAGCGACATTAAGGGCAATTATCCTGTTAGCAAGAGCTGACAGCTAGCAAGACCGCAAATGTCAGTCCGATTCACTGTAGCTAGCTTCCTCACGAAGCAGGACTAAACACGGGAGGGTTCATCGACTGACCAGCCACGTCGTTCAGCATTAACCACGGCCACGTGGCTGACGAACACAGGAGGGTTTCATCGACTGACCAGCCACGTCGTTCAGCATTAGCCAGAGACACAATCTGGTTTGGGCTCGGGTCCTCGTACAATGCAGTGACTCGTTATTATCCTTCAAATGCTAAAACAAAGGCCCTTCATCTCCCACTTTCACCGGTCCACTTCAACCACTCGGCGTACAACAAACTCTCATTTCATCCCTATGCCATGCCATGATAATTCAGGGTTTGGTGCTGGCTGTGGCACCATCTAACACATGCATCAGTTGGTCATCACCACCCTGCTTGGGCCATAAATCTCCTCGCACCTCTGCTCAAAGGAATTAACAAGGCTGCTCACCACCTCGTCAAAAAAAAGGTCCAGAAACTGCAAGGAAAGGGACAGGAGGAAGAACAATAGAGGGGAGGACATGGGCCCGAGATGAGAGGTAGGGGCTCCAAGACTGCATGGCATACACCCTGTGCAAGCAAATAACGACAATGGGCAACGAAGCGTGTACTTTGTGCTTATTGATGTTAACACGTATCACATCTGGCATGGGCCATGGAAGTCGGGTGCAGCACAGGAGCACATGAGCACAGGAGGAGCTGGAGAAGCAATCATGCCATGGCAGTTTGTGTCACTTTCCATGGCAAGGTGCGGTCACCACAACAGCCCCACAACAGCCCCACCCGCCAGTGCGGTCACCAGTCTGGGCTTGGAATGCCAAGTTTTTTGCACCAAAACCACACCTGTGTGCAGAGCAGACCTGAGTGCAAGGCACCTGTAGCCCCAATGCATGAGTGCAGGGCCCCTGTAGCCCCAATGCATGAGTGCAGGGCCCCTGTAGCCCCAATGCATGAGTGCATGGCCCCTGTAGCCCCAATGCATGAGTGCATGGCACCTGTAGCCCGAATGCATGGGTGCAGGGCCCCTGTAGCCCCAATGCATATTTGAGTGTAGAGCAACAGCTTTTAGCCCCTATCAACCCACCTCAGTGTAGAGCAATCGCTTTAATCCCCTATCAACACGCTTGGGTGTAGAGCACACCTGCGTGTCAAGCACATATGCGTGTTGAGCACATCTGTGTGTCGAGCACATCTGTGTGTCGAGCGCATAAGTGTGTCGAGCACATAAGTGTGTCGAGCACACCTGCGTGCGTGTCGAGCACACAAGACCCCGATGAACACACCAGGAACCTGGAGCCCCAAACCAGCCCCTAGAAGCACACCTGAGTGTAGAGCAATTGCTTTAACCGCCTAGAAGCACACTCGCGTGTAGAGCAATTGATTTAACCCTAGAAGCACACCTGCGTGTAGAGCAGGGAGCGGAACTGGAAGTCAACGGAGAAGGAGAGCAGGCAGGAGCCCGGGACGCGGCCAGGAGAGAACTCCCAGTGGTTGGTGAGGTGCTGGAACAGGTTGGTGTCGGTGGATCGCGCCTGAAAGAAAAAGGGGCAGCAATGCGTGTGCGGGTCACAGGAAGAGGGATGAGGGAGGCACAAGGGGTCAAAGGATTGAGAGCACAGGAGAGAATTCCCAGTGGTTGGTGAGGTGGTGGAATAGGTTGGAGTCGGTGGATCGCGCCTGAGGGAGAGAGGGGTGGGGGGACAGCAATGGGTGTTGGGGTCACAGAGTAGTAGAGCACCTAAGAGAACTCCCAGCGGTTGAAGAGGTGCTGGGAGATGGTGGTGCCAGAGGATTGCGCCTGCAGAGGAGGATCTGGCAGATGAGCGGGGGCAGGGGGAGATGAGTGGGGGAAGGGGGAGAAGAGAGGGGGAAGGGGGAGAAGAGAGGGGGAACGGGGAGAAGAGAGGGGGAAGGGGGAGAAGAGAGGGGGAACGGGGAGAAGAGAGGGGGAAGGGGGAGAAGAGAGGGGGAAGGGGGAGAAGAGAGGGGGGAGGGGGAGAAGAGAGGGGGAACGGGGAGAAGAGAGGGGGAACGGGGAGAAGAGAGGGGGAAGGGGGAGAAGAGAGGGGGAAGGGAGTAAGTAAGGATGGCAGAGGGGAGGCAGGCGGCTAGGAACAAGCTCCCAGTGGTCGGTGAGGTGGTGGAACAGGTTGGTGTCGGTGAGGTGGTGGAACAGGTTGGTGTCGGTGGATCGCGCCTGAAGAAGAGAAGAGGGTGGCGGATGGGAGTTTGAGATGCGCAGAGATGAGAGAGCTCCCTCATTGTCTCGTTGCCGAGGTGCTGGGATGGGTGGTGTTGTAGCACCATTGCTACAACAAAAACCGTCACCCACTACAGCACCCCACACCACACCACGGCACCGCACGGCACCACACAGCATAGCACGGCATGGCTGCGCGGCGTGGCACGGCACGGCACGGCACAGCATAGCACTGCTACAAACAACAGTTACCCGCCATTACACCCTGCTACAACCAGAGCAGCATAGCATGACAAAGAGCGGCCGTTTGCAGGTGACGTGCGCAAGATACTTCTCCCTCAGCATTTGAAACCGAATCTCCAGCTCCGCCTCCATCCTGTACCACACCACACCACACCACACCACACCACACCACAACACAACACACCACAGCACACCACACCACAGCACTGCTGCAAATAACCGTAGCCCACCACCAGTGCAACTCACCACCACGAAGAGCGGGCGCTTGTAGGTGACGTGCGAGAGGTACTTCTCCCTCAGCATCTGAAAGCCGATCTCGAGCTCCGCCTCCATTCTCTCGTGCCCCCGCCGCAGCACCTGCGACCCCACGCACCACGGCAGGAACTCGGAGTATCGTTCGACCCCTGCCACCACGTCGAACAGCTGCTCTGGTGAGTACCTGGGAAGACATTAGTCAGGGTGTGGGGGAGGGAGGGGGGAGGTGAAAGGAGAGGAAGGTTGAAGTCATGCCCCCTTAACCCCACACACCACGGCAGGAACTCCGAGTAGCGCTCCACCCCTGCCACGACGTCGAAGAGCTGCTCCGGCGAGCAGGTGTGACGACATGATGGCGCGTTGCCGAGGGAGGAGGCATAGGAGGAAAGGTGCGAGGTCATTCGGTCATGCCGCCTCGCCTCCACAGCACCTGCGACCCCACCCCACACACGCACCACAGCAGCACGTCAATGGCTCTCTCGTGTGCAGGGTCGCAGGTGCTGCGGAGACGCATTTACACGGGGGCGCAGGTGGGGCGCAGGTGAGAGGACAGGGGAAAATGCAGCCAGCCATCCCCCCTGCCATGCCACAGCACGTGCGACCCACCACACCGCGGCAGGAACTACGAATTGTGCTCCAACCCTGCTAGCACGTCAAATAGCTGCCCTGTCGTGTAACTGTTTGAGCGGGGGGGGGGGGGGGGGGGGAACAGAAAACTAATGGGAGGCCATTTGGTCATGCCCCCGCCCCCCAGCGCGTGCGACCCGTGCAAAGACGCAGGCAGGAGGGGGAAAGGTGTTTACCTGCAGAGACGCAAGCAGGAGTTGAGCAGGGGAAGAGGGCGAGGGGTGAGGTGCAGTGCAAGGCCTGTGGAAGGCCTGTGGTGAGGTGCCGTGCCGTGGACGGTCTGTGGACGGTCTGTGGACGGTCTGTGGACGGTCTGTGGACGGTCTGTGGACGGTCTGTGGACGGTCTGTGGACGGTCTGTGGACGGTCTGTGGACGGTCTGTGGACGGTCTGTGGACGGGGGGGGTGGACGGTCTGTGGACGGTCTGTGGACGGTCTGTGGACGGTCTGTGGACGGTCTGTGGACGGTCTGTGGACGGTCTGTGGACGGTCTGTGGACGGTCTGTGGACGGTCTGTGGACGGTCTGTGGACGGTCTGTGGACGGTCTGTGGACGGTCTGTGGACGGGTGGACGGTCTGTGGACGGTCTGTGGACGGTCTGTGGACGGTCTGTGGACGGTCTGTGGACGGTCTGTGGACGGTCTGTGGACGGTCTGTGGACGGTCTGTGGACGGTCTGTGGACGGTCTGTGGACGGTCTGTGGACGGTCTGTGGACGGTCTGTGGACGGTCTGTGGACGGTCTGTGGACGGTCTGTGGACGGTCTGTGGACGGTCTGTGGACGGTCTGTGGACGGTCTGTGGACGGTCTGTGGACGGTCTGTGGACGGTCTGTGGACGGTCTGTGGACGGTCTGTGGACGGGGGGGGGGGGGGGGGGGGGGGGGGGGTCTGTGGACGGTCTGTGGACGGTCTGTGGACGGTCTGTGGACGGTCTGTGGACGGTCTGTGGACGGTCTGTGGACGGTCTGTGGACGGTCTGTGGACGGTCTGTGGACGGTCTGTGGACGGTCTGTGGACGGTCTGTGGACGGTCTGTGGACGGTCTGTGGACGGTCTGTGGACGGTCTGTGGACGGTCTGTGGACGGTCTGTGGACGGTCTGTGGACGGTCTGTGGACGGTCTGTGGACGGTCTGTGGACGGTCTGTGGACGGTCTGTGGACGGTCTGTGGACGGTCTGTGGACGGTCTGTGGACGGTCTGTGGACGGTCTGTGGACGGTCTGTGGACGGTCTGTGGACGGTCTGTGGACGGTCTGTGGACGGTCTGTGGACGGTCTGTGGACGGTCTGTGGACGGTCTGTGGACGGTCTGTGGACGGTCTGTGACGTCGGACGTCTGTGACGTCTGTCAGTGACAGTAATGTCCACGTCGACGAGCACGTCAGACATGTACCACGTCAGACAGTAATGTACCACGTCAGACAGTAATGTACCACGTCAGACAGTAATGTACCACGTCAGACAGTAATGTACCACGTCAGACAGTAATGTACCACGTCAGACAGTAATGTACCACGTCAGACAGTAATGTACCACGTCAGACAGTAATGTACCACGTCAGACAGTAATGTACCACGTCAGACAGTAATGTACCACGTCAGACAGTAATGTACCACGTCAGACAGTAATGTACCACGTCAGACAGTAATGTACCACGTCAGACAGTAATGTACCACGTCAGACAGTAATGTACCACGTCAGACAGTAATGTACCACGTCAGACAGTAATGTACCACGTCAGACAGTAATGTACCACGTCAGACAGTAATGTACCACGTCAGACAGTAATGTACCACGTCAGACAGTAATGTACCACGTCAGACAGTAATGTACCACGTCAGACAGTAATGTACCACGTCAGACAGTAATGTACCACGTCAGACAGTAATGTACCACGTCAGACAGTAATGTACCACGTCAGACAGTAATGTACCACGTCAGACAGTAATGTACCACGTCAGACAGTAATGTACACGTGCTGCTCGGGTGTGTAACTGAGGAGGGAAAGTGGGTGAGACGGAAAGTGCGGAATGAAAAATATTGTTATTCTGGAGCTGCAAGGTGCAGCAACGTTTCGCTGTACGTATCACACTTTACAAAGCTCCTCAAGCGTCAGAGCTCTTGCCACGTCAGCACTGAAAGTCTAGAAACCCACCCAATGACGCGCTTCTCGTGAAACTTCTTGGAAGGCGACGAGAATCCCAGGAACCCTCCTCCACCGCCGCCGCCGCCAGTCTGGCTGCTGCTGCTGCTGCTCGCGCGGGAGCCATGCCCGAATCTAGAACCAGAACCAGCACTGCCAAGAGAAGTTGCAGCAGCCACAGCAGCAGCTGCAGCGGCAGCAGCAGCAGCAGCAGCATTGCCAGCAGCAGCCGCAGCAGCAGCAACGCGCGTGGGGGTGAGTCCCCACAGTGCGCCGTCGTGCAAGGCTCGCCCATCCCATCTGTGAGTGCACGCGTCGGTCGACGGTACGACGGTCGACGGTTTGACTGGCTCTATGGCACGGAGAGAAGGAGGAGATCGCGCGGGGGTGCTGTTGCTGTTGCTCCGCACGCAACGCTCGCGATGCGCACAGGTGAGGTCGGCAGTTTCCACACGCCTCGAAAATCGATCCGCATATGGAAGGCCCACAGCGGCAGCCGCGGCAGCGGCGGCGGCGGCGCCGCGCGGAGAGGAGGCCGGCGGCGGTGTGTGAGCGCGAGGATTGGCAGCGATGGCGGAAGGAGAGTCGTCGGCAGGAGAGACGGCGGACGGAGAGATGGCGGGCGGAATGGCGGGATTCCTAAACCCCCTCATAAACCCGCTGAAAGCAGGCCCTTCCTCGCCGCCCTCTAGTCTGTTCCCTCCTCCCGCGCCGCACGGCAGGAGCGTCGCAAGCTCAGCTCTGATTGGCGGGCGGCACGCCGCCGCCTCCTCCTGCTGAGATCTGTCCCTTAACCGCACGGACGAGCGCACAAGGGCATCAAGGAAAAGGGCGTTTCCGTTGCGCGGGTGCGAATGCGAGAGCGACAGGGGGAGGGGGTGTGAGTTGATGCTTCGCCGTGCAGGAGAGTGAGACGCAAGGAGGGAGTGGGAGTGGGAGAGGGAGAGGGAGAGGGAGTGGGAGTGGGAGAGGGAGTGGGAGTGGGAGAGGGAGTGGGAGTGGGAGAGGGAGTGGGAGTGGGAGAGGGAGTGGGAGTGGGAGTGAGAGGGGAAGGGGGAGTGGGGGTGCGGCGCAGTCGGATGCGGGGAAGGAACGAAGGCGGAGCGGATCTGAGGGGCTGGGGAGGCGGAAGCTGCATCCAAGCTCGCTGTGTCTAGAAGGGCGCTAGAAGCGAGTCTGCTCGTATCGAGGCTGGGAACAGACAGGTCGGAGCTTCGGCAGGGTGTCGGTAATCTCGGGTGATCGGATCGGGCTGCTTCCCCGTTCCGCTGCCGCACGAGCGACGCGATACTGAAGGCTCTAGGGCTAGTCCCCCCATACTGGGATGGCGAGAAACTGAACACCTCGAAATCTTCCTGCTGCGACGGGTGGTCAGCTCGTGCTGGCGCATGTTTTTGATTTTTTTGAACAATTCCCGCCGCTCTTACCGCCGCAGATTGCGCTGCTCTCGCGGATCTAGCGCTCGCTTCCACTGCACCGGCGAACTCGCGGCAGAATTCATGCCGACGTTTAGCTTGTAACGAGTACAGAAGCTGCTGGAACGGTCGACAGAGAGGAGCGCAATGGCGCATCCTGGGTGAGTACTTGCTATCACAAGTGGCTAGGCCAATGGTAATTAGCGACGGCGTGGTGACACGAAGACGAGAGAGCGGGAAAGATGGATGACGGAGATCGAACTGGTCGTTTGGCAGTCAGTAATGGGCTCTAATCGACGTCGAAGGCTAGCTTGGTCTAGAGAATGTCTGATCGAATCTGGGACCCTCGAAAAGATTGAAGGCTCTGTGTGCGTATGTACGCTCTAATGCGCGGTCGCGGACCACGATTATGAAATTTGAGAACAATTTGCCTTACATCTGGTGCCTAATTGATGTTTGATATATTTCATGTGACCTAAGTATGACACCACTCATTGGTCACTATTGCCGGAGTCTACTTATGTGGGCTCGAAAGCAACGACATTTGACTAGTCTCAGTTTCACTCATGAAACCAGGAATACATGCCATGCTACTACTGCAAGTCCTAAGAACAAAACCCAGCCAAGCCACAAGTGCGCCTAGTCTCCTTAGGCGCATAAACAGGTGCCTGGTTCTCATTAGTTAATGACTGCAACGGGCCTTTCGTGAAACCCTCAATTTCAACTGCTCCCCCAAAGCCATGAAAGCCAGCCGCCCCATTTCCAGAATAAAAAGCATCGCTGCTGGCACGAGTCGTGGCGTTGTCAGGGGTGTCGTGATTGTGAACGCGGGGGGAGCCCCATGGGTTCAAGGCCATGAAGCAGCGCGAAGCTGCTTGGAACGAGAGAGCGGGGGAGGCTCCACACATGCTGCTGTTAGCCTCGTCCCCTGAAAGGGATAATCCCACGGGGCAATGCCCTGCCTCCTGCTGCTGCTGCTGCTGATTGTACTGATGCTTCTGCTGCTGCTTCTCGTGTGAAAACGGGGCGGCGATGGGAGGGAGAGGCCGAGGGGAGAACCAGGGGGAGAAGGCAGCAGAAGAAGCCTCCTCATACTCCTCCCGCCGGCTCTTCTTTCGGCACACCGCGATGGGGGGCGGGCAGAGGTCCAGGGGGATAGACAGGGACGCATCTGCACCCATGCCACCCATACCGTCCATGCTAGTGCCTGAAGCGCCCATGCCACCCGTGCCATTCATGCCAGTGCTTCCATTGCCCGACGCGCCCATGGCAGCAGAATCCATGGGGTTGAAGGTGGAAGCAGAGGTGCCAGTGGACTGGGAGAGAGAGGGGGAGAGAGGAGGTGGGGAGGAGCGGGAAGGGGAGGAGCGAGAGGAGGAGGAGGAGGAGGAGGAGGAGGAGTGTGGGATGGACTGTGAGGGGCATGGAGATGTAAAGGACGGGCAGCCCGAAAAGGGATTTGTTGAGACGGGCAGGCTAGGAGTTTGTTGCGGGGGGAGGGGAGGCGGCTTGGCGCTGGAAGGAGGAAGGGGAGTGGTCGGAGCGGTGCAGATGGGTGCTGGCGCCGCAGGGGCGAACGGGTATCGCGTTTGGAACTGCTGTGGGCGGTCGTGCTGCTGCCAGACCTTATTAAATCGCTCTATAGCGGAGCCAAGAGGCGGTTGGGCGACAGGGCGAACGGGAGAGGCAGCAGGGCGGATGGGGGAGGCGACGCGGGGGGGAGTTGGCGGAGCAAGGGGAGGCGCGATTGCAGGAGAGGCGGGCTGGCGCACGGTGGTTGGAACCACCTGATCGTTCACCTGGCCGTGCTGAGCCTGGTAATCCGCCTGCTGCTGTCCCTGCGGTCCCTGCTGTCTTGGCCTCTCTCCCGCCCCCAACTGCTTCTCTTCCGCATCCTCCATAGTCGCTACCGCTGCACTCGCTGCGCCCGCCACTGCCGCATCCGCATCTGCCGCCGTGAGATCCGGCATGTCGAGGCCGAGCACCCACGGGTGCTGCAGCACTTCCGCCGCCTTGAGCCGCCTGCGCGGATCCACCTCCAGCATGCGCCGCACCAGGTCCCGCGCGCCCGCGCTCACGGGCGCCCACGCGGGCGCGGAGAAGTTAATCGCCCCGCGGAGAATCGACCGCCGTAAGCCCTCCGCGTCCGCGCGGTCCTTCCCCGCGAAGGGCACGCGCCCCGTGAGCATGGCGCAAAGGACCACCCCCATGCTCCACACGTCCGCGCGCTTGCCGTACCTCCGCCCGCGGACCATCTCCGGCGCGGTGTAGAAGCGGCTCCCCGCCATGCCGTGCCCCGTCTGCCCGTGCGGGAGGAAGAGCGCAAGCCCGAAGTCCGCCACGCGCACGCGCGCGCGCCACGCATTCGCGGAGCTATCTCCGGAACCTTCCGAAGGGGACTCGTTCGACTCGACTCTATTAGTAGCGCTTGCTCCTTGCGGCGCCTCTAGGGCGGCGAATTCAGCGCCAGGCTCGTTACGGGGGTTGCGGGCAGTGAAGAGGATATTCTCGGGTTTGATGTCGCGGTGCAAGACGCCCCGCGCGTGGCAGTACGCCACCGCGAGCGCCACCTGGCGGAAGATCTCCCGCGCCATCTCCTCCGGCATCCCCGCCGCGTGTTCCGATTTAATCAAATCAAACAGGTCCCCGCCCTCGCACAGCTCCATAACGAGGTAAACCGCGGCGCCGTCTTCGAGCGCCTCGACGAGCTGCACGATTCCGCCATGGCGTGCCGAGCCCGGCGCGGTGAGCTGCTGCAGGATCGCGACCTCTTTGCGGACTTCCGCGGCGTCGGACTCGGAGGCGATTAATCGCTTATCGATGCGCTTGCAGGCGAATTGGCGGCCCGACGCCTTGTGCGTGCATTCTAGAACCTCGCCGAACGCGCCCTTGCCTAAGTGGCGACCTAGGGAGTACTCGGTGAGGAAGTCGCGCGGAGGAGGGGGAGTGGAGGGAAGAGGTACCGTCATCGCGTCTCCAGTCCTAAAGAAAACTAACCACCGTCGAAGTTCTAAGTATGCCTTTAAATTCAACGAGCAGGAACTGTGACTGCCTGGCCTATGATTGAGCTACTTCTGGAAAAGCGAATTCTATCGCTAAAGCAACAAATGAGAGCGAAGGGAACGCGTAGATACTAAGCTAAACGAGAAGGCTCTTCTGATGCTATGGGCTCTAAAGAAAAGATCGGTCGCGGCAGAATGCCTTGTACGACAAGCACGCAACGAAGTCGAGGGCCTGATCCGTCGAAGCTGGCTTGGCCTCAGGGGAAATCGAAACTGGTTGACTGAATGTTGCTAGTCGGCTATGCTGGCTTTGTGTGGGAGGAGGAAAAGTAAGGAAGCTTGCGTGTGGGTTGCGCGTTGCGCAGGGTCATGCTGCAAATGTGCCCTTTGCTGGTCCGCGCAGGCAGCGCCGATCCCACCAAGTGTGTGCGGGGGGACGAATTTGCTGGTGAGCGGAGAAGAATGAATGTATGCGCGGCGAAGTTGCGACGGGCTGGGAAAATGCAAACGAAACGAAACGAGCGTTGAAACTGCCTATCGACCGGTTTTATGGGACGGACGACCTAGGTCTGCGATCAGCATGCGATGCGTCGGTGGTTATGCGTTACCCTCGTTCGTCGTCGCACACGCTTCCGGGCTACTTCGGCGAACCAGCTTCAGAGTTTGACCAATCAGGGCGCTTCTACAGTTCGGTGGCGACTTGCATGACATTATTGGTGCGCTGCGATCTTACCCATCCACCCACGCTTAGCAAAGTGTTGGAATACATCAAGATTGACTGTCGGCTGACCCCAATCGCGTCTTGCGCATCCTCCGCTTGTTTGTCCTGGCCAAACGAAAATCAAAATGGAACGACGCGGACGCTGAACGCCTAGGGTAGTGGCGGCGCAGCGGCTGCTACTGCGCAGCTGGCCATACACGCGACCAGCGCTGACCTAGGAACGCGCAGCTCCGGGGATGTCCCTCTGCCGACGGGATGTGAACCGACCAACCGCGAAGCAGAAATGAGTGCAGTCAGCAGCATCCCTCACCGACTGGAAGAGGGACTAGCAAACCCGAACCTGGAAAAACCCATCCCCCAACCTCATCACACCCCCCCTCCCCCCTCCTCCCGCCCCCTCCCCGCCCCCCCTCACCCGCCCATGAGGTTCCCAGTGGCGCAGTGGAAGACCACGTTGAAAACGCGGCTGGAAAGCAGCTGGCATCCAGAGCGCCTTGCGATTGGCTGTTTCAGCATCTGGGCACGCGCTCGCAAGGGTGCAAGGTTCAGGGATTGGGGGGGGGCTTGGTCCGGGGCGGACTGGGGCTCGCGGTAAATCCGAGGTTGCACATGCGACTCGGGAGACGTTCATTCATGCGATGCTGCTTTGCTGTTTCTGCCGTGCAGACCTGCAGTTGACCCTCGTCAGTGCTGGGTTCATCGAACGTGCGTGCGAACTCCGCATGGTCCGAGACGTCCGCAGGCATATTGTTCGTCAAAGTGGAAACCGAATTCGCTCGCCGCCAGCGCCATTTCGTACTGCCGTCACTGGGAGCAGCAGGTGAGGCGAAGCGCTCGCTTGCGTGACAGAGCAGCCAAACATATACTTGCTATTAGCCAACAGGCTACCAACACTTTCCTTAGCTTGCATAATTGGTGATGCATTCCCATGAATTCAACACAGCAATGGTCAAGCTAATCAGCTTCATACACATAGTAGTTAAAACAAAAAATATGAATATATGATTAATAAGATATTAATATTTTGAGAGTGCGATATCCAGGCACGAGTTGATTGGGTTCCTATCCTACCTATCCACCATTTGAATCTAGTGTTCCTGAATTGAGATTGTGCCATATGCGTAAATATCCCGATTAGAAATATCATATGGCGTCATTGTGGCCTAAATTTCTGCTGTTACTCACAGCATGAGCTTTAACGTATCAAACAATTGAGAAATTTAATATACCAATGTTGACTAAGAAGAGTTCAATGAAAGCGAGAATTCACCCTAGGAGCCTTTAGCGAGAACATGAATTCTCGTGCGTTGGAACAACAACAAAAACACAGCAATCAAGCTCAATTCCTTCCGCGACTTACGCCATCCACAGCGCTCCTTCTGCTCGCGTTGGCGCAACGACGAACTCCCGCTTCGCGTTTAGAATATACTATAGGTTGCAGAGTGCACATAGGTGAAAGGATTCAAACCATTCGAGCACTATCGCACGCAGGAGAGTTTCTAAGTCGTACTTCTGGGCGCTATCCGAAGCGGCTGCTAGGGTTTTCCGCTTTGACTCCTCGGTCTCCAAAGCCCACGGATCAACATGAGTAAATCCGGTCAAGCTCCTGATTTAAAGAAGTACGTTCATTGGGCCATTTCTGTCGCTTGCGTTTCCTATCGACTCCCTTGGGAATCCATTTAATTTCCCACTCTCACCGCCCTTATCACTCTCACCGCCCTTATCACTCTCACCGCCCTTATCACTCTCACCGCCCTCATCACTCTCACCGCCCTTATCACTCTCACCGCCCTTATCACTCTCACCGCCCTTATCACTCTCACCGCCCTTATCACTCTCACCGCCCTTATCACTCTGACCGCCCTTATCACTCTCACCGCCCTTATCACTCTCACCGCCCTTATCACTCTCACGGCCCTAACCGCACTCGTCTTGTGCTACCGCCGGTGTTTCGTCGAGTCTTTTTCCGCCATCCGGCCGTCCTCTCTCGAGAGCTGAGTCTATTTTCTAGGCGCCGAAAAATAGTTTGGCGTTTCGTCGAGTCTTTTTCTGCCATCTGGTCGTCCTCTCGCGCGTGCGGCGAAGGCGCGAGTTGATCGAACCGCGACCAGAAAGAAAAGCATCCGCAACTCGAACCCTAATCTTCTCCGTTAGCTATGAGACTCCGAACCATTTCTCGTGTCCCAATCGAAGCCTTCTCAAGCATGGTTCTGCCTGCCCTAAGGTCCCGGTGTAGGCTTTGCCGAGCCGTATTGTCAATCGAGGATCGAGGATCCCTGAATTCGGATTGTCATTGTTCGAATCCTGATTCGATCCTGTCTCCTGAATTCGGATTGCATGCGCTCCTCCCCGAGATGATCCGCTCTGCTTATTTAATCAACAAGGATCACTCAACAAAGTTTCTACCTTTCCCTCTTCGTGCCCGAACCCCCCTCCCGCGCTGAGTTCTGTTGAGTGATCCTCTGTTGAGTTCTGCACGCGTTCTTCCTCCAGCTCTCCTTTTTTAGTCGACAAGTTTATACCTTTCCGTGCTTCATGCCTCCTCCCCCCTCCGTCTCCGCGTTCCCCACCCCTCCCCCCTCCCCTTGCGCGCGTCGCAGGTACATGGACAAGAAACTCAACAGTGAGTGCCGCCCCGCTCGTGCTCCACAGCCCCCCCGCTGATGTTTGGCCCAGAGAGCAGAGTGCCACAGCCCCACCTCCCTTCCTTCCACTATGACCGGATTTTTTTTTTTTTTTTTTTTTTTTTTTTTTTTTTTTTTTTTTTTTCGGGCTTTAAGGAGATCCCAGGAGGAAACCAACTATGACCGGAGGATTGTTTCACTTGTGATCACGCCGGTGTCACTCAGTAGCCGCACATGTCACTATCATCCCATCTGCTGCGCTCGCTAGTTGCTCTGTCCGCGAAAAGTCCCCGTCTATGTTGGGGAGCGTGAGACACTAAACCCCAGATTTTGCAGATTCTCAAAAGCACTCTGCAAAATTGGGGAGGGAGAGACACCAAATCCCAACATCGTCCCTTTGACTTCTCTCATGCCTCTCCCCCCCCCCCCCCGACGTCGTCCCTTTCTCTCCTCTCCTCAATCCCCATCCCCTCTACCTTCCTTCCTCCTCTTCTCCCCTTCTTCCTTTTCCCCCTCTTCCTCCTTCCTCCTCTTTCCTGCTGCCCCCTTTCCCCCTCTTTCCCCCGACCTCCTTCCTCCTCCTCTTTCCCCCTCCCCCCTTTCCCCCTTCCCCCTCTCTCCCCCTTCCTCCTTCCCCCCCTTTCCCCCTCCGCCCTTCGCCCTTCTGCTCGCCCCCTGCAGTAAAGCTGAACGCGAATCGCACGGTAGTGGGGGTGCTGCGGGGGTTCGACCAGTTCATGAACCTGGTGCTCGACAACACCGTGGAGGTCAGCGGGGCCGACAAGACCGACATCGGCATGGTGGTGAGTGCTCACTCGTGAATTGGAGTTGATGCATGCAGGGTGAGGCAGGGTAAGCACGTTGGTGCTGGTGCTGCTGGTTTGGGGGTTTGGCCAGTTCATGAATCTGGTGCTGGACAACATGATGGAGGTCAATGGGGCCGATAAAACCCGCATCGGCATGGTGGTGAGTGCTCGTGCTGCCTTGTGCCTATCGGGGTTGTGGTGGCTGCTCGTGCTGTCTGGTGTGAGTTTTGAGGCGCACTATATCGGGGTTTGTCCTACAGCCTTATAGTATACCTGTCCTCATTACACCCTCCCTCGATCGCCCCTCCCTTTCCTCCCTCTACCTCCGTCCCTTCCTCCCCCTTCCTCCCTCTCTCTCCCTCTTCCCCCCTTCCGTCAACTCGCGTGTTCCCATCCCCCAAGTTTCTTTCTATCCCAGTGCGTCCCTCCTAGTTTTTCGACCCACTTCTCCCTGATCCCCTCTCTCCGCATCAGCTGCTTGTGCACCCTCCTCGCCCTCGATTGGGATTGCTTGTATCTGCTGTTGCTTTATAATCCCCCTCTATTGCCTCACATCTGTGTCATGTGTTTTTTTCCATAGTGATTGGTTGTGGCCCCTAGAGCGAAACTGCTTGCAAAGCCCACTAGAGCTGTCTAGTTTCCTATCGCCCCTGTACTATCTGTTCCTCCGCTGTCTTGAGGCACCGCAAATACAGCCTCTGTGCCCAGCCCACTCTGTGTAAAATCACGGCTTCGTTGTAAGATTTTTTTAGAATTCTCAAGAAGATTACTTATCGCCCGTGGACTAAATGTTCCTCCACTGTGCCCACTCCCCCCATAAACTCACGGCTCTGTTTTCGTGCTTGTGTGCTGCTTGGATTTCTGTGCCGCAGGTGATTCGGGGAAACAGTGTGATCATGATTGAAGCGCTGGAAAGCGTAAGGTAACACATGGGTTTCTGGTGGCGCCATGTGCCTACGCAGCTCCTCACAGAGCGTTTTGTTCTGTGCTCTGCTGCTCGGCCCAGTTTGACCCATTTCTAACTTGATAAAGCATTTGTAAGGATAGGTTATGTAGGTGGTACTGTATACAGCTGGATAACACTATGTTTGGATGGCATTCTCGGCACACCAAGCGCCAGTCTATGGTCTGAATTGCATCATTGTAGGTGTAGGTGTTGTCAAACATATGTAGAACATATATTTGTATAGACTGTATAGGGTCACCTCTTAGAGGTGGGGGGATCCTAACCTACGCGTGATACCATATCAAACTGAGTGAACTGAATGGATGACTAGTAGAAGAGTACAGATAGATATACCTAAGTTGTTGGAAATGCCTCAAGGACTTCAGCGTTTCTGAAGTGTAATACCACACTCGAGGAAGGTCGTAACGGGTACGCGAGTCAACGGAGGTTACACGAGGGGATGGACAAACAACACGAAAGGACTCGAAGGGTCGCAACTGGAGGTTGCGACTGACAGTTACAACTGCAAAGATGGTAACCGAAGCGACAATCGAGTCGCTGTGCGACTCGATAACCGCTCTTTCAACTGTATTCTACAACTGCTTTACTTTCCTACTTTCTATATATTGCTGTATGTTTGTTCTTTTAATCAATCACTTGTTCTCATATACTAGTACAAGGGTTCAACTACCTCAACTTCCGCTGCACTACTCAAGTCTTTTACAACTAGGACTTAGTCTCTGGAAAGATCCTAAGGGCATTTCTCAGCCCTACATGGTATGAGAGCTGGTCAGAGACCAAACTCCCAGCAACTACGTGTCAGAAACCCAGTCACTAACCACTGGGTTAAAAGGGCTTGTTGAATAGCGGGTAAGTGCGCCCATAGCCCCCCAGGCTCTGCACCTGTGGCCCTTCTCCGAGGATCTCAAGGGCAACCCCAGCGGGTCACTCAACACTACGCTCTATGTACAATCAGCACACCAACGACTTCATTGATTACAAGTCATGGACAACAAGGGCAAGAAAACCTCTACGGGCTCACCCAGTGCCCAAGATACTCAACCCGGCAACTCTGGACTGCACACTTCAGGACTGCAAACCGAGACCGGCGCTTCTCAAGAAACAACAGGAAGAGCACCAGAAATGGTGACCCCATCACCCTCTTCAAGCGTGGACCCGAACCTTATGGAAAGGTTCTTCAGCTTCATGTCACACTTCGACCAGCAGCAGCAGACAAGGACAGCTGCGCATTCAACACAAAGCAACGGAGGAAACATGGGATTAGCGCCAACGAGTCTCGACAACTCATCGTTCGGGCGACACAATCAAGCGCCTACCTTTGCGCCTTATCACTCTTCACCGGGGACGTTCGAGTTCATGCCGCCCCGTGCCCAACCAACAGCAGGTGCATCACAACAGACACCAAACGAGATTTTAAGTCTCCAGGCGCAGTTTTCACACGTGATTAAACTGCAGACATCCTCACAATTCAACGGACACGATTTCTTTACCTTGAGTTTTAAGTTCGAGCTGCTGATGGAGGCTGCGCATCTCTTAGGATACTTCAACGGGTCCCTGCCATTCCCAAGCAACGGCACTGCAAAAGAACAAGAAATCTTCACGTATCAGTCGCTGCTGGCGTACACAGTTCTCCTACGGAACCTGTCACCACAAGAACAGCAAAGCATCAGAACGTATAGGAGCTACGGAAACTCCGCGAAACTCGCATGGCATCACCTCAAGTGCCTCTATTAAGCAAATGACAGCGTGACACAAAGCAGACTCATGCAGCAGCTGACAACAATACAAATGAAGATCGGGGAAAAAGGGATGCAGTATATGAGTCGATGCCAGACACTCCGCGACCGCCTGCTTCGGTGCGGAGGAACAATCACTGAAGAAAGCTTCGTAACGCTTGTCCTCGCTGGGCTCGGGCCAGAATGGCGAACCACCTGCTCGCTCCTTCGCGCCCACGGTCGAATCTCGGAGATGTACCTCTGCGCCGAGCTCCATGCTGAACAACAGGAGATGGACCTGTTTGAAGAAAGACAACCAAGGAAACAACAACCATTAGTCTTCTACACTCAACGAAGACACGACAACAACTACAACCGACGCGGCAGGCAAGATCAACGCGACAACAGAGGACTCACCATTGTACCGCCGTTCTGCCACAACTGCCAAACATCCGGACACTCCAAAGTCAACTGCACACGTCCCCAAGCTTATCGTCCAGTAAACCCACAAGTCGCTTCCACTCAAGTAAGTCCGCCGAGGCACCCTTCCACATCTGCACAAAATACACCGAATATCATCAACTGCATGGTACACATCGACAGCTGCGCACCCGGATCACTGCCAACTTACGCTCCCGATGAAGAAGAACTATCGCCGCCGCGCTCACAGGGACTTCAGGTCAACCCAACGTACGCTGCAGTGGCGAACTCCGAACCCACTGGACGCAACACTTGGTTCTTGGACAGCTGTTGCGGCCAACACATGTGTTCTTCCGGGCGGTTCGTGCAACGAGAACGACGCCTCAACCGAGACTTCATCATCACCGTCGCCAACAACGAGAACCTGAAGACAAACAGACAAGGAGTGGTTCAGTTACAATCCATGGAGACAAACGTTATACTGCAACTCAACAAGGTCCTCATTGTCAACAACTTGGGATACAATTTACTAAGCGTCAGCCAGTTAATGGCAAAAGGAATTCACGTGGAGTGCGACTCAGACTCCAACGAATTTCGCCTATACCACGGGAAGGGCGGTCTCTTCATCGGTCGCGCTCTACTAAAGTCCGGCGTCTTCGTGTTGGACTTCGTCCCCGACCGCGGTACCGCCGATAGCGATGGCATCGTATCATTCGCCGCATGGACGCACCCACCAGACCTTGACCCCGACTTCAACCAAGATGGATACTGGTACTCCAACACCATACCTGCCGCAGAAAGAACACGGGCGTTAGCAGTCATCAGACAAGAAAGACAAGTACCAGCAAGCGTCTCTTCCCAGACATCACCTGCGGTAGCAGCAGCAGGACCCAGCCGAGCACCATCACCAGCGATCCGAGGACCGCCAACCGAAGCAGATCAACTTATGCCCATCACACACGAATTCTGCCGAAGTCCCGCCATGGTCGTCGCGTTCTTCTCCAACGCCGACATGTACCAACGCTCGCCCGGCCATCACGCCCCCGACGACATCTGGCACCAACGCCTTGGGCATCCTGCAAACAGCACGGTACTACAAACTATCCAAGTCGAAGTGTTAGAAAGAAACGCTCTTCTTACAACGAGCGGCCAAGAACTTCGACGACCACGCGCACGGTGCTTCACGTGTCCCGAAGCCGATCTTCCTCACCAACCTTTTCCATCACATCACAACCCAAGCGCACCTGCATACGCACCGATGGAAAAGGTTTACATCGACATCTTAAACATGCCTCGAGACGACACTGAAGCCGACTTCAACTATGTCATCACGTTCATTGATGCAGCAACAAGATATGTCTGGCACTACAACCTCAAGAAGCGGGATCAAGCTTTCGAAGCCTTCACGACGTGGCTCCCCATCGCTGAACGAGAATCAGGAACCAAGCTCAAGAGCTTCCAGTCAGATGGCGCACTGGAATACCAGTCACAACGATTCAGGAACTACTTGGTGGAAAGAGGAATCAGACGCCTGGTGTCTCTGCCCTACGCTCACCAGCAGCAGGGAGTCGCAGAAAGAATGAACCGGACCTTGCAGACGACGATGCGAAAGCTGCTCCTGGGGATAAGACTGCCCAACACACTATGGCCAGACGCGATAACACATGCAGTCCACCTGCACAATCTGTTGTCATCGTCATCGCTTCCCAACAACGCATCACCGCACCTGCTGTGGACACGAAAAAGGGGCAGCACAAAATTACTTCGAGTTTTCGGCTGCATGGTACAGTACAGACCCCACACAGCCCGAGCAGGACGCTTCACTCAACGAGCACGGTGGGGACTACACCTCGGCATCGCCAAACATTTTCACGAATGGAAAATCCTCGACATACAAGACAAAAATACGGTGGCATCACGTGATGTTATCTTCTACGAGCGACTGACGCTGCAGCATTACCTGGACAACATTGCCAACACACACGACCCCACCGACGGCCTCGCGGGCCTTCGTTCCTTCGCCGACCGTGCTGCCGAAGCTGACGCAGCAGAAGAAGACGTACCTGGAGCCTCGAAAGCTGCCGGACCACTCCCTTTCTGTTCCGTACCTGTTCCACTCGACAAAGACAATCCTCTCGATAGCAACAAACTCGACACCCTCTACCACTTCGCTGACCAAGGTTACGCTACACCTCACCCGGTCGACACGAATATCTCAGAACGCATCGGCCCCAACTTCTTACCTGATCCTGAAGATGGTGACGAAGCAGCCTATTCGGGGAATGAAAATTCCCCTCGACACACACCCACGGGACTGCAAATCCTCGGCTTATGGGTCTCCATCCAGCACCCGCCGCCGCCATCTCCGCGCGAGCCAACGACTCTGTCGCAGGCTCTGGGGGGGGAACATAAGACGAAATGGAAGGAGGCAATGGAAAAAGAGCTAAAGGCCCTGCAAGACCGAAACACGTGGAAGCTGGTACCTGCAACAAAAATCAACGGAAAAAACGTGCTCTCGGGAAAGTGGGTGTACCGCATCAAGACTAATGCGGACGGCTCCATCGAACGATTCAAGGCTCGCTGGGTCGTACGAGGATTTGATCAACGATACGGAACCGACTACACAGAAACATTCGCCCCAGTCTCTCGTCACACCTCCTTGCGCATCCTACTCGCCGTCACGGCCACAAAGAACCTACCACTGCGCCAGATCGACGTCGCAAATGCCTTCCTATACGCACCTGTGGACGCCGAAATCTTCGTCGAGCAGCCCCACGGATTCATCGACGACCCCACAAAAGTATGCCAGCTGATAAAATCCCTTTACGGGATCAAGCAAGCCCCGCGGCTCTGGCAGCAGCATCTTCACGGTCGCCTCGTCAGAGTCGGATTCCTACAGCTGCCGCATGACCAAGGCATGTACCGACTGCATAAGGGAAGAGAGTATATCCTACTCATCGTTTACGTCGACGACCTGCTCTACATCGGTTCCACTACCGACATCGCCACCTGGTTCGAAGGGGAGCTGAAAGGGGACTTGACACTCACGGTGTCCGACACAGTGACCCAGTACCTGGGTCTGAATGTCGTCGAAGACAACTCGGCGTTCTACCTACACGCTGGAAAGTACGCAGGCGTTGTCGCAAAGAAGTTCGGACTAACACCAACTACAGTCGCGACTCCCTACCGCTACGGGAGTATCAGCAG